GGGGGGGGGGGGTGCTGGGACCTGGTCTCCAGAGGGCTGGCTCCTCACTCAGGCAGCCTCCGCTACCCAGCTCTTTCCTTCCCAGGCCCACCCCTCCCCTCAAACGGGACTGGGAGACTGGGAAGATGATGTCTGGGGGACCCTTCCTCCATGCCTGTACTGTGCCTCATGTTCATATCTGCTCCAGCGCTATGGAGATCCCCACTTACAGTGGAGGAAAGCAGGGCCTAGAACTGTGACAAAATTTCCTCAAGGCCACTCGGCTAGAGTGGCAGAGCCACGTGGATTGTGGAGAAGTGCGGCAGAGGCAAAAATAGTTTCCTTGTGGGGGCAGGGAAGGGGCCAGGCACCTCCCTCCCCACCAGTCAGAGGAAGATAAAGACTGCTGAAGGGGTCCTGGCCAGTTTGGCTCAGTGGTTAGAGTGTCAGCCTGCGGACTGAGGGGTCCTGGGTTTGATTCCAGCCAAGGCCATGTACCTCAGTTGCAGGCTCGATTCCTGGTCCTGGTGCTGGTCTGGATGTGTGCGGGAGGCAACTAATTGATGTGTCTCTCTCATATCCATGTTTCTCTCTCTCTCTCTCTCTCTCCCCCCCTTCCACTCTCTCTGAAAAGCAATGGAAAGAAAAAAAAAGACTGCTTAAGGGATGCAGAACTGCCCATTGAGGGGCTGGCCACATAGCCCAGTGATCAGGAAGGGACGGTGGGAGGCTGATGACACAGACAGGCCCTGAGGCAGCAATATGCATGTGCCCACTTCCTTAGGCCGCGTCACAGCAGGAGCAAATTCCCCTAAACAGCTGCCATGTGGCCCTCACTTCCTCCTGCTATGGCCCCACAGTGCCTGCCACTGACCCCAGCCTGGCAGGGGTGGCACCTGGCACCTCCAAAGCCAGTGAGGTAGCCTGATTATTGCTCCCTCAGTTTACTTTGCCCCACTCTGGGCTGGAGCCCAAAGCATGATGGTCCCTCCTGGGTCTGGTGAGCAAATAGGAATCTAGTCACAGCTCAGACCATCTTCCTGGGGCAAAAGAGGGGGGGGGGGGCATGTAGGCAGTGTGGCCCCATAGAGAGCAGGCTGGGGCCCCCGGACCATCTGGCAGGTAGAGCAGACAGTGGTGGGATATTCAGGGAGGAGGGATGGCAGGCTCCTCACTGGGTATGCGCAAGGCTGTACCTGGAAGTCAGCTGCGATAGTGAGCTTGTCCTCAAAACAGGTCCCTTCCTCCTGGGATGGGCATCCAATGCCAGGGAGTGAGCCATGGGTGAAGCAGTCCAGAGTGGAGCAGAAATCAAGGCCAGGAACCAGAGCTCCATGGTGGGGAGGGCTAGGTGAGCGGCTACATCCACACCATTCTAGACACCACCTGGACAAGCCTGAGAAGTCGACATTAACCCCTTCCTTCATCCCTGCTGTGGCACTGAGTCACACACCACTTCATTTTCCCCTGTGTTATTACAGCAGTCTCCAAACACCCTCTTGCCTCAGGACCTTTGCACTGACTTTCCCTCTACTGGAAGCCTCTCCCAGATTTTTACATGGCTGGCTCCATCAAGTCTTGACTCAAAAGTTTCCTTTTTGGGAAGACCATGCTATCCAAAATTTTAACCCCCGCCTTAACATCTCATATCTCCTGCTTTATTTTTTTTCCTTTGGCACTTACTGTCATCCAGCCTGTCATGCATTTTATTCATTTATCATTCATGTAAGCTTGCTGAGAGCAGGCACCGGGGCTGTTCTGCCAATGCCAGCATCTCCAGGGCCTTGGAGAGGGCCAGATAAATAGTTGGTGACCAGAAAGTCCTTTCCGAGTGGGACAGTGGGAAGGTCCCCACTGGGCTGCCAGGGTGGGCAGAGTTCAGCCCGAAGTGTACTCACTAAAGGGTGGGTGTGGGCCAGGGGCCACTTCAAGAGTCTGTGTGCGCCATCTGGCCCTGCTTTTTACTACAGTGAGCTTGGCAAGTGACTTGGCTTCTCTGTGGCTCAGTTTCCCCATCTGTCATAGATCGGTACAGTGTACCTGCCTGATAAAGTTATTATGAGGGTGAATTGAGCCAAAATTTTGTAAAGTACCTGGGACAGAGCCTAGCACCTAAGTGTTTCAAAAATTTTTAAATGATACGTTGATAGAGTTTTCCTCATTTTAACCAAAAATAATTGGCCATTAAAGCAGTTAGCATCAGTAAGTGCTGTAGTCCCCCCTTATCCACAGGGAATACACTCCAAGATCCCCAGTGGATGCCTGAAACCACTGAGTACTGAACCTGTATATATTATGTTTTTCCTATACATGCTACCTATCATAAAGCTTAACTTATAAACGAGGTGATTTCACAGACAGAAGATTCAATCTCACCATAGCTCTTAGCAACCTCAGCATACAATTTTTCTCTCCTTAAGTTGAGAACTGTCACCTTTTCTCTTAAAGGAAGCACTTTCCGGGTTCTCTTGGGCATGTCCAAATTGCCAGCATCACTACTCTTGAGTTTTGGGGCCATTATGAAGTAAAGTAAGGGTCACTTAAACACAAGCACTGTGTTTAAGACTTACCCCGAAGGCCAGTCTGAAAACTGAGAGGGCTGCTGTGTGGCTAACAGGCGGGGAGTTTACACACTGTGGATACACTAGACCCGCATCCTGGGCAGGATAGAGTAGGAGGGCTTGAGATTTCATTTCAGCATACTGCTTGGAATGGTGTGCAATTTAAAACCTATAAATTGTTATTTCTGGAATTTTCCATTTAATACTTTTGGACCGTGGTTAACCGCAGGTAAATGGAACGGTAGAAAGTGAAACTGGATAGGTGGGAACTGCTGTAGGAACATGACCTAGTGAGCAGATTGTGTACCTGCCCTAACAGATCAACCAGGCAGCATGTGGCTCCCTTTCCAGCCGAGCCTGGCCTTGGGATTACTTGCTTTTTGTCGCCTTCTCACACCTGGGGAAGAGCATGTAAGCACCTTTGTGACCTCTTTGCTCCCGTGATGGAACGCCAGGGTCCCTGCACCCCACACTCCCGTCCCTCAGGCCTTGGTCTTGGTGGCAGCTGAGACTAGCTGCAGCTCTTAGAGGACATCCCTCCTTCCAGGCTGCACCCTCTTCTCACTGTCTCAGGGAAGGAGCCATGACCTTCAGGGCTTACTGGTTTAAGCCGGCCACCAAACTCACAGGCTGGCCCAGGCTTTAGTCTAACACCAGATGTATTCATTTCCTGTAGCTGCTGTAGCAGATAACCACATCTTGGTGGCTTAAGACAAAACACATTTATTCTCTTACAGTTCTGGAGGTCAGAGTTCAAAATGGGCTTCGCCGGGCTGAAATCAAGGTGTCAGCAGGGCAGCTCCCTGCAGAGACTGGAAAGAAGAACCCATTTCCTTGCCTTTTCCAGCTTCTAGAGCTGAGTTCCTTGGTGCCTGGGCTTCCGGCGTCTTTCTGTGCTCCATCTTCATGTCACTTTGTTCTCACACAGTCAGGGAGTCTCCCTCTGCCTCCTTTTAATTTCTTTCTTTTTTTTTAGAGAGAGAGAGAAAGAGAAACATCGATTTGTTGCTCCATTTATTTATACATTCATTGGTTGATTCTCGTATGTGCCCTGACTGGGAATGGAGCCCCAGCCTTCGTGTATTGGGATAATGCTCTAACCAACTGAGCTACTCAGCTAGGGCTCTCTCTGTCTCCCTTTTATAAGGACACATGTAGGGCCTGCCTAGACAATTCAGGGTCATGTCCCCATCTCAGGATCCTTTATTTAATCACATCTGCAAAGTCCCTATTACCACAGAAGGTAATATGCACAGGTTCCAGGGATAGCTGAGGAGCCATTGTTCAGCCCACTACACTATACTCCCTGTGGAGAGGGAGGCAGACAGGACACCCAGCCTTATGGGAGGCCCAGCAGCTACCCAGGGACACAGGTGTCTTGCCGTCCCCCACACCCAGGGCAGGTGGAGCTGCTGCAGACCAGAACCAAGAAGCTGCAGCCTCTGTTCCCCCAAGGCCCATGTATCCATTCTCAGCTTCCAGCCCAGAAGCTCCCCAACTGATCTTGACTCTGGTTTGCAAAGAAACCTGAGAGAGATTCCAGTCATTTCCCAGGAGGCCTGCGCCAGCCCAGGCCAAATGTCAGCCTTTCACTCAAACACTCAACATTGACCTCTCGCTCCATAAGGAAGTTTCTCCAGCCATGAGAAGAGAGCACCATTTCCTCAGTTTAAAAGGCAACAGGCTGTGGAAGAGTATTGGGCTCCCCTCTTCCTAGTGCATGCCTTCAGGGACTATACTAGGCCTCTCTCCTGGGCCTCAGTTACCTCATTTGCAAAATGGAGCCAAATCACACCAACTTCTTAGGTTCATCCCCAAGATCAGCTGAGACAGTGAATGAAAAGCAGCTATACCAGTGCAGGGCACACAGCAGTAACTGCAAAAATGGCAGCTGTGATTATTGTCACTGCCATTCATGCTCTTTTCATCCAGTTCAACAAATGCAGGAAGTAAGTGCCTACTGTGTGCCAAGCATGATGTTCCCCCAAGGCCTATGAAAACAGCGGTGACAGTCAGATGCGTTGCCCACACTCATGAAGCCCATAGTCACTCACAGGGCGCACAGAGACCCCTCTGAGGGATGTCAGGGTGGAATCAGGAGGGCTTCCTGGAGGAGAGAGAAGATGCTATTACAGAGAAGAGAGAGAGGGGCGTGCCTGGGGCAGAAGGAACCTCAGGTGGGGAGGGCCTGGGCAGAGACTAGCATAAACGGGAGCTGGGAGCTGTGTGACGGTTTGACTCCTTTCACTTTAGAGTATTCAAGCATTGAATACCTACTGTGTGCAGAAAGCTGCTCTAGGAGTTGAGGAATCAAGAGATCAATGCTTACAGGAATCCCTGCCCTTGGGAGACAAACTATTAGCAAATTAAGCAAGTAAAGTGCAAAGATTCTCTAGGAGGTGGAGATGCTCAGGAGAACAGTAACTCAGAGACCAGAGTGGGGGTGGTAAATATTTCCATGGGTGAGCTAGGAAGGCCTTACTGAGAAGGTGGCATTTGAGCAAAAACAGTTTAAAAAGTTAGTTAAGAGCCAACCATGGCTATGTCTGAGAAAGGTGGGCTGAGTTTTTAAAGTACAGCATTTGTTTTAATAGCTTGAGTTGTTGTTATTGGTGGGGTGCTCTCTGCATCCCCACCTGTTGCTGATGAAAGTGGGCTTTTCGGGGTGCCACATGAATAAGAATTTCCTGAGGCCCCCACAGGAGTATGAGGTATTGTGGAAAGTTTTATTTCTGTGGAATTAAAGCCCTGAGTTTCCAAGGTCCCATTTCCCTCTGCTCCGCCATGGAAAAAGTCCCATTTTGTCTTTAGCAGAGCTAGAATCAAAGCCACTGCCCAGAGTTTCTGCTCCATTTTAGGGTCCATTTCAGCCCAGCATCTGGCTAGCTTAGCTTATGTTCCCAACTGCAGTCCATTGCATGTGGGGACCACATGGCTGTAGGCCATGTGGCTTCTATGACCACATGACTGTGGAGGTACACAGCAAATGGGGGTCACTGAGCAAGTAAGAAACAGGAGCTCAAGTGGCAAGACAGAGAATTCTTTGTCTCAAGGATTTTACCCTTCCAACATTTCATGCACTTGCAGTGGCTCCACCCCCAAGCCAGTTATCTTTGTTACCAGGTTAGACTCACAGACAAGCACCTTCCCTGTATCACCCCAACTGTGCATGCATCCATTTCTCCCTTTGTTGGACCCCTTCCCCAAGTGATTGGCAGGGAATGGACCGGTGGTTCCCTGGAGAGTGTAAAGTTTAGCTTCCTGGTGAAACTGCCCAGATGACCATGCTTATAATATCTGGCCTCCCTTTGCTCCTTTCCAATTATTAAAATGAGCTAGCTAGTTACAACGGTAACATTGCGACTGGCTGCTAAATTGATTTCATCTCCAGGCCAAGTTGAATGGATGAGTTGGTGCTTCTGGACACATGGTAGAGAACCTGAGGCAGCATTTGGACTTAAAGAGACCAACTAGCAATGTCTGCTATGGAAGCAGGAGGGGTGGGAATTGGAGTCCAGGTGCGACTAGCTCTGGAGCCCTGGTTCAAGCCAAGAATGAAGGCCAACCTTTATTGGCTTCTCTGGGGAATGAATAATTCCACATAAATAAAGCTTCTAAACAAACAACTTTTTAAAAATCAGAATCTTTTTAATTGTGATTGGAAACCAGGTGATCACAGTTGCTGGAGACAGGTGTAAAGTGTGAGTGAGTGGGCCCTGAGAGAGGAGCTGAGAAACTGCTTTGGAGTGAAGTCACAAGCAGCGCGTAAACTTTGGCCTCAGTGCTTGACTGGTTATTTAAATGGTTCAGATGCCCTATTTTTGTAACCAAAATTGCCAGGTCTTTCTATTGCTCAAGACAGCAAATACGCTGGGTAGGTTTTTACCGACACCTGGTGCAGCCTGACATCGCATGTGAGCCTGAGACAGTCCGTGTTTCCACAGGGTCGCACTCCCTCCGCTACCACTACCTGGCCCTGTCAGAGCCAGGCCCCGGCCTCCCCCACTTTCTGGCTGTGGGCTACGTGGACGACCACCCCTTCATACGGTACGACAGTCGTGTGGGCAGGGCCGAGCCCCAGGCCCCATGGATCGCGCCCCTGGACGCCCAGTACTGGGAGACAGAGACCCAGAAGCAGAGGGCCTGGGCAGAGGTGCAGCAGGTGGAGATGTGGACGGTGATGGGCTACTACAACCAGAGTGGCGGTGCGTCAGGCGGGCTCCCCGCCCCCGTCCTTCCCTCCCTCGGGACAGGGTGCTCGGTGCAGCCTGTCAGAGGGCCCATGCGCACTCCTGAGGCATAGCCCTTCCCAGCCTCCTCCCACGGCCAAGCCGGGGCCACAGGGGCCTTCAGAACCAGTTCTGGCTTCAGCAGCTGGCCTGCGGGCCAGGGTAGGAAGCATCCACAGGAGCTAGAGGCCCACAACGTCTCCCCCCAGCTAACTGGGGTCCCAGAGCTCAGCAGCCTGGAGAGGCCTGCCCCCTGCCTCACTCCTCACCCTCCCCAAACACTTCCAATCATACCTGCCCCTGGGTGCCATCTGTGCCAGGAAGGGGAGGGAGGCGGGATGAACTTTTGACTAGGCAGACAGCGCAGGGCAGAGACAGAGCCTGGACGGGGACCCCTGGTCTGCCCAATGTTGGCAAAGGACAGGAGCATTTCTCAGCCTGGCCTCCCCACCTCAGCAACGGAGAGCTCACAAGCACTGCTGGGGCTTGGAGCACAGCTCTTCACACTGCACCTCCCACTCCATGCCCAGACTCCCAAATGACTAGAAGCCTCAGGTCCCCAAAGGCCCAGAAGGACAAGATATAAAGACTGGGAAGGGCTACGCCTAAGCCCAGGGCCCCCAGGAGAGACATGGCCCACCCTCAGTAAAGGTGTTGCCAGCTACTGAAACTGGGTTACCACTGAGAGCATCTTACACCCATAAATAAACAAATTTTTCCTTCTCACTGCATAGAAAATATTAATGTCTCATTATGAACTCGAGTGCTCTTCCCACATGAAAGGCCCTACAGTCTTCTCAGCCCTGGCTGCTCATAAAAATACCTGGGGAGCATCTTTTAAAATGGCAACGCCCTGCCCCACACTCTGCGGCCCCTGCGGGTGGTGGGCTTCTCAGCCCCACCGCCCCCACTCACGCCGCCTTCTCGCCCACACGCACAGGCCGGCACAGCGCTCAGCGCATGTTCGGCTGTAACATGCAGGAGGACGGCCGCTCCAGCAGCTTCTGGCAGTTCGGCTTTGATGGGCAGGATCACCTGTCGCTGGACCTGGAGACTCTGAGCTGGGTGTCAGCTGAGCCCATGGCCGTGCGGACCAAGCGCTGGTGGGAGTCGGAGCGCTGCTACGCTGAGTACGACAAGGCCTACCTGGAAGGCCTCTGCCTCGCCTCCCTGCGCAGGTACCTGGAGCTCGGAGGCCCAAGCCTCACCCGGAGAGGTAAGGCCCAGCCTGAGGCAACGCAGAGGGTGGCCCCACGCCCTTCTCAAGAGTTGTCCCATTTGACAATGAAGCCTGGGGAGTTGGGGGGAGCGGGCTGTGTCACTCTGGCTCAGGCAAGTCTGCTGGGGCCCAGAAAGATGGCCAATCACTAGAGCAGGAGGAGAGCCCGGACTTCAGGCTCTCACTCCCAGTGAGGTGGATGGGAGTTCTGGAATCCCCTGGCCAAGTGGTCTTGGGGAATAGCTCCCCCTAACTCAGCCTGATTTTCTTCATCTGTAGGGAGAATGGGTTAAACTTGGTGGCTCAGAAAGTCCTTTTGGGGTTTAACATCCTGTGGTTCTGCTCCCTGGGAAATGACCCCAGGCCCCAGGGGATAGTGTCCTTCACCACTCCCAGGACCAGGGGGAACTTCTGGGGAAGCTGAGGCCCTTTGTCCCCCCTCTTTCCACACAAGCCTCATGCTCAGTATGCCCCCCAGACCTGGGTGCATCCAAAACGCCTCCTGACCCTGGCCAGCAGGGCTGGACATAAGGAAGGTGGGTGCTTGGGCTGCGCGGGTAGAGGCTGCAGGCTGGCGGGGCTGGGGCTGGTCAGAGCACTCAGCACACCGTGGATGTCTGCTGGTTGAGCGGCGGGATGTGAATCATCTGAGGTAGTGGAGAAGCTGTTCCTCAAAGGGGAGGTTAGGACAAGTAATGTCAGGAAGAGGAGACGTGATTATGAGAGCACAGCATGGTGGTTTGGAGCTCAGGTACTTGAGCCCAGCCTCCAGATCCACACCCGGACTCCAGGACTTGCTGACTGTGTGACCTTGGGCAAGTTACTGGCCCTCTCTGTGCCTCAGTTTCCTCACCAGTATAATAAGGATGGTAATAATAGCCCACGCTTCCCTGCGGCACCATATTGATATGTGCTAAATAAGTGGTGTCGAGCTCTCATTCAGCACCAGGTGTTCTCCTACCTCCTTCACCTGGTAGACACGTTATCCACAGAAACAGGACCGACAGGATTTGTATATATAAAGAGAGAGAGAGATGTAATAAGTAATTGGCTCATGTGATCATGGAGGCTTAGAAGTTTCAAGATCTGCAGTCCACAAACTGGAGAACTGGGGGCTCCGATGGCACGGTTCTATTCCAAATGCTGACAGGCCAAGACTCATGAAGAGTCTGAAGACAGGAAAAGACCTATGTCCCAGCTCAAGCGATCAGGCAGGAGTTCCCTCTTATCAGTCTTTTTGTCCTATTCAGGTCTCCAGATGACTGGGTGACGCCCACTTACACTGGGGAGGGCCATCTGCTTTACTGAATCCAGAGTCAAATGTGAATCTCACCCAGAAGCACCTTCAACACCCCCAGAAAACTGTCTGACCAAATGGCTAGGCAGCCCCATGGCCCAACTGACACACAGAATGAACTGTCACACCTAGATTATGTCATTCAGAGCAACTCTGAGAGGAAGGAACCATGGATCCCCATTAGGCCCCGAGAGACAGAAGGTGTGGACAGGGTCAGGCTGGGCATCAAACCCAGGCTGTCCAGCTCCAGAGCCTGTACTCATAACCATGCTTGTTCTAAGTTGAGGGAAGGGACATCATTACTGACTTCATTGAACAACCTCCTATTAGGCCCCTGCTGTGTGCAGGAGGTCATGGGGGAAGTATGTAAAGTCTCTGAGAAAACACCAGGGTCTCTGTGGGGCCCTGGGACCCCCCCCCGCCCTCATTGCCCCACCCAGGACTCCCTTGGAGGTTGGGGGCAAAGTCACATCCTTGCCATGGGCATTCCTAGGACAGTGCCCCTTTGGAATGGTTGACGACAGGTTGTCCCTGCCTCCAACACTGGGTTGTGTGTCTGCCCTGGAGAGAGCCCCGCCCTCGTCTCCTCCAGCATCCTCCAGAGTGGAGGATGCTGGAGGAGCCTGGGATCAAGCACAGGGGACAGGCGGAAAATGGCCACCCACAAGCCTTCCTCCCTCCATCTCTCTCTGCAGAGCCGCCCACAGTGCAGGTGACGAGGCACGTGATCCAGGGCAGGGGCGTCACACTGAGGTGCTGGGCCCTGGGCTTCTACCCACAGGACATCTCACTGAGCTGGTGGCTGGGTGAGGAGGAACTGACCCTGGAGACCGAGTACGTGGAGACACGCCCCAGCGGGGACGGCACCTACCAGACTTGGGCCGCTGTGTGGGTGCCGGCTGGGGAGGAGGCTGGCTACACCTGCCACGTGCAGCACGCTGGCCTGAACCACATGCTCACCGTGGCGTGGGGTGAGGAGCTGGGCTTAGCTAGGAGGGGGCAATGAGGTCAGGGAGGGTCCCAGGGCCCCCAGAGATAGTCCCATGGTCTAGGGGTGCCTCCTTTTCTCCGCCTTCCTCAGAACCGCCCTCCAGTCAAGGATTCATTGCCATGGTTATCTGCCCCATCCTGTTCTTGCTGGTGGTTGGAGCTGTGATCCTGACCAGGAGGTACCTTCAAGGTAGGTGTGGTATAAAAGTGGGAGGCCCTCCGGCTGGTCCAGCCTCACAGGAGGAAACACTCTGCTGCCATTCCTTCAGCTACATTTCCCTTCTGGTGAGCAGCAGCTACTACTGAGGCCCCGCCCCTGCCACACAGCCACACAGCATCCCAGGGCCAGGAGGACCCCACAGCCAGGGGAGACCGCTGGGCCGGGCCTTGGAAAGGGCCCAGAGGGGGAGAGGGGGAGGGAAGGTGGACACCCAGCCTTCCACCTCTGCCCACTACTCATGTCATCTCTGGTTTGTGCTCTTTTTCTGACAGCCAAGGATGAGGAACCTTATGAACAAGCCCCAGGTGATTATGGGCTGGGTGGGTTCTGGAGAGGAAGCCCCAGGTGCTCCCAAGCCTGAGTGAGGAGCCTTAGAGCCAAAGATGGAGGCAGGGCACTAGGACAGGTGATCTCCCTTTCTGCAGCCTGGCCTCAGCCCGCTCCAAGGCCAGGCAGAGAGGGTGTGGTAAGGGCACTCCTGGGAGCCACCACCTGGGTTTGGTGGGGACCAGGAGCAGGTCGGGTCACCTTCCTTCTTCCTCCCTGCAGGTGGAGAGGAACCCCCATAATTCCCAAAGCCCAGCGAGAGCAGGGGCAGCTCAGCTTCCCTCTGGCCAGAAGTTCGCACACCAAGGAAGTGTTCTGGGGGGTGTTCGGGGGCCTGGAAGCCCCTTGCACTGCTGGCTGGCAGATGTGATCTGTCCATGATGAGCCCATCCCACCCCAAAACTGAGCCCTCCTCAACCTCGTCAGCTTTGTTACAAGTGGTCTGTGCCACTAAGGTGGCTCTGTGATCTTCCTGAAGTTCTTTGAAAAATGTAATAATTCCTCATCTTCTACGCTTGATAGTTTGCAGAATGACTTCATGTTAAGTGTAAATCTCAACTTGAGCCTCTCAGGCACCCTGTGACTGTGTGGGTCAGGGTAAGGGTATGTAAGGGTGTGCGGGTGGGTGTGGTGTGTGTGTGCATTAGGGTGTGCGATGTGTTGGTGATGGGGGGTGTCCTTGTGTATCTGAGGAGGAGCTTAGAGGAACAGGTGCTCAGGGGCCTGTCAGTTAACCCTGGGCAGCTGCAGGATGGGAAACAACTCTGTCTATATTTTCCTTCCTGTCCTTTTGAATGGTTTGAGTTTTTACAATAAGCACATGCTACTTTTACAGTAACATTTTTGCTATGTCCTGTGGAAATGCTTGTTAAGGGTGTGTCTGCAAAGGCCCAGCCTAACCTTTCTGAATTTCAACAGAGCAGAAAACCCCATGTCTCCTTTGCAAACAGGAATCACCATGGGACCACATCTTTGCTTATTTAGCAAACAGTTCCTATCTCTTGGCCACCTGATATGCAAGGGACTGGGACGGAGAGAGGCCAGGCACTCTCTGCCTTTCCTTCAGTGACTTCAGGGCCTGACAGGGTCTCCTGTGGGGATGTCTGAAACCTGTGTCTGCAGCCCTGGGAGGCCCAAAGCCCAGGGTTTGAAAGATGTGATATTAGAAAAGGATTCAGATTGCACTGAGGATGTGTGTCTATCTCAGCGATGCCATCGTGTCCCACCTATGGAACCTCGTCCTAAGCAGGGTTCTAAGTGTGGTGGGACAGCTTCTGCGCTGGGGCTGGCCCTGCCTCTGCCCTGGCACTGCATGGTCCCAGACCTTTTGCTCTCAGACAGCCTCCAGGTTCTTGACTCACCCAGGAAAAATTTCAAGGATGAATCTGAGTGAGAACAAAGCAAGTTTTATTTAGGTAGACAAAAGGAAAGAGGCCAGGGCACAGGTGCCGCTGTGAAAGAGGCAAAAAGTGAGTTGTGCTCGTGGTCAGTTAGTTCTTCAGATTTTATGTGTTTCCAAGGGGGTTGGGGATAGGGGCACCAAATTCTGACTCAGCCTTCTGGTTGGGAGGGGTTCTTGTTCCTAATATGGTCCAGTCAGGAAGTGTCATGGCCTTCGTCCCACCCTTATGTTCATAGCAGCACAGTTTACAATAGCCAAGATCTGGAAACAGCCCAACTGCCCATCAGTAGATGAGTGGATAAAAAAGCTGTGGTATTTACACCATGGAATACTATGCAGCTGTGAAAAAGAAGGATCTCTTATCCCTTGGGACAGCATGGAGGGACCTGGAGAGCATTATGCTAAGTGAAATGAGCCAGTCAGAGAAAGACAAGTATCACATGATCTCACTTATATGTGGAATCTAATGAACAAAATAAACTGATGAGCAAAATAGGACCAGAGGCATGGAAGCATGGAACAGACTGACAGGGTCAGAGGGAAAGGGGGAGTAGGTGCAGGAAGAGATTAACCAAGGAACTTATATGCATATATGCATTAACCCATAAACAGACAATAGTGTGGTGAAAGCCTGGGGTAGGGTGGAAACTGGGTGGAGGGGGGGCAATGTGGGGAAAATGGGAGACATCTGTAATATTCTCAACAATAAAGATAAATTTAGAAAAAAAACCCTGCTTGTCTAAGATACCATATTATTTTACTTATATTATGGCATTGAAACAAACTATACAAATGGACAAACAAAACAGAAACAGACTCAGGCACAGAGAACACACTGATGGCTGTCAGATGGGGCACTAGGTAAAAAGGGTGAAAAGATTAAGAGAAGTACAGATTGGCAGTTACAAAACAGTCATGTTGGTGTAAAGTACAGGATGTGGAATATAGTCAATAATATTGTAATAACTATGGACGGTGCCAGATGGGTGCTAGACTTATTCG